AATACCGTGATATGCTCACCTCTTCCTTGCTTCTAAGGGAAAGTTCTGAGTTAATCACTGGGTAACTAGGTGAAAATCCTAAACACACTGACTAGGAAGTAAATCCCATTGGAAACAATGGGGCTTACTTCCAAGTAAGCATGCATAGGAATGCACTGTCAGGCTTTAATCCTATGCCATTTACTTAGGAGAAAGACCCACTGAAATCAGTGGCCTTGAGTCCAAGTTAACATGTACAAAGATCGGGTTATAAATCTTTTCTACACAGAACACCCTTTGTTGTATGTTATAGCCCTTAACCCACCACACCCTTCAGGGACAAAAAGAAGGAAGCATCTACTTTGAAGAAGTCCAGCTCAAGGAGCTGAGCAGAATCATCTCCTGCCAACAAACCAGAAACATTGTAAACATTTTGGGGCAACAAGTACAATTTTAACAAGGGTTAGGTTACAAATGTAGATGAAGTACGGTATATATAGAAAATGTTATGTGACGAACATTACTTTAAAAAAGAGAGTAAGTGTTCTAGGTCTCTCTCCTCTGTTAGCCTTCAAACCAAATGACAGTAGGTCCTCAACAATATTTATCGTAAAGGTCCCAAGAAAGTGCAATGAAAGAAACATTTAAGTAAAAGCAGGGGTTCCTGTGCAGCAAAGTTGGGAAAACCTATTCTTTATGTAAGACAATGAGGAGAAAGAGACCCAGAAGTGTTTATAGAGAAGGGTGGGCCCTATCATATCATCAGAAAGCTGATAAAGGATAAAGCTTAAGAGAACTCTTCCACAGCAGACTAAGGAAGAGCAGCGTATAATTGGTGGGAATGTGGAATTTGGCTTAGTCCCCAGCTTCCTGCTAGAGAATATTTTCATATAACCAGAGGGGATTAAATCACAGTGACATGGACAAATATGCTGTTTACAGTTTGTCCCACTGCTGAGTCTGCCACTTTACTACTACACAACTCATTGCCAAGTCATTTCTTTGTGTGAACACACACAGCCACAAAGGAACCTGGAGTAAGTCCACAGACCACAATGACTTGGAGTTGTTTCAGAGGAAAGGATTTATTTATTTATTCAGGCTAAAGGAAGACTATGCAGCCAGCCATGCATTTTGCCTGGAACCAGTTGGCACAATCTGAAAATGTGGGGGCATGGTCTTAAGGCTCAGGAATCTACATACATAGAGAATATCCATAACCACCTTGAAGTTGTTGTTGTTGTTTTTGCAATCAAGCAATAAATAAAATTTATGAGATAAATAATAAATAAAATAATTATCTTCTCACCCCGTAAAAAGGGGCCAGGAGGATTTTACTAACTTTTACACTACAGACACGCCTGAGACTAAGCCCTGGAGAAAGAAAATATCGATGGTTTGCTTTTCCATTCAGGAGATTTATCACGTGCCCAGAAACAGATAAATTTGGACTGGTATATATCAAGTGTGGATGGCTACATATAAGGCAGAACTGCAGTTTGGTACTGATCTCTTGGGCAGTCCGAATCTGTTGACGTCACATGTATAGGGAAGGAGAGAGTCTGAAATGTGTTGAAATACAGGCTGTGCCCAGGGGAAATGTCAAAGAAGCAGATAAAATAGTAAATGCGGGGGGTGGGGGTGGGGGAAGGCTTGCAGAAATGTAATAGGGATAGAATTGCTTTTTGAGGGATAGCACTTGGAGTTTTGAGCCTTGGGATATGGAGGTGTGACTACAGGTGTCAGATTGCTATGGTGAGAGGGTAAGAGTGATATAAAGAGAACAGCCTTATTTTCGTAGGGAAAAGTTTCAGGGTAATAAAAGAAGTGGTGCTACTCTGATGAATGTTGGGATGAGAAATATTTACAGGTGTGCCAAGAGCATTTTGGACTACTGTCTGGTTGGAAAAACATAAAGGTGTATGCACAAGAGTGGGGTATTTACAAAAAATACAGGAACAATTACACAAACTGAAGCAGTATCAGGAGCTGCATGTGTACAACACATGTACAGTGGTGCAGTGGCAGCTGGTGTGGTGGTACTGCGAAGCTGCCCTCCCAACACTGGCGCCACTGCAACTCATCAGGAGAGGTCTGGGGAGAGACAGAGGGGAGGAGAGCTTGGGGCTGTGTGGACACACTGGGAGAGACAATGTGGTGCTTCCGTTGGTGGTCTATGCAGCCCTGACCTCACCATCACTCAGTCCTGACCAGGCACGCTGCGGAGATACCAATGTTGGGAGGGTAGCCATGCCCTACTACACTGGCTGCTACTGCAGTGGTGTGACATATATATATATATATGCTTAGGATTAGAGCAATATGGCAGTGGAGGAGACACGTGACATGTGCTTAGGACTTTTCAGCTACAGGGTTGCCTGAAGGCAAAACAGCCAACACATCCCCAATGAATATCTTCATTGTGCAGTGACTGTGATCCAAACACCTCCAATCCATTCACTCCTATAATTCCTCCTGGGACTTACTTAATGGCTTTCTTTTCACTGCGACCTCGGCTGGAATCTGGAGTTCCCACCGTCTCCAAGGAGTTTTTATAGCGTTTGCCCTGAAACGAAATGGAAAAAGAGAAGGTGAGGATAAGGGTTTATCTGGTGGGAGGAATGGCTTTGCTTCTGAAAGGAGAACAGGAAAAGATCTAGGTAGGTCCCTTCCCCTTGTCACACTTGCAGTGGCACTGTGTGTGATTAGTGTTCGGAAACACAAAAGGCCAGCTTTGCCCAGTAGACCCTTTGAAAGTAGAAAATTTGCATAAGTGGACTGTAATTTGGGGGTGACCTCCGTAGAAGTTTTTGGTAAGAGAAAATGCTCTGCTGCCGCCTGCACAGAGTAGCTAGTCACAGTGAACTAATATTTCTGCTACAGCTAAGGCTTAAAACAGAGTATTGTATAAAGATGGTTTTACTTAGTGCTGTAATTCCACATGCATTTCCTCTTTGTAGATAAAATCTATCAGCAGCTAAAGCAGCATTTACCAAGTCAAACCAGGAGTGCTAGAATCATAAAACCAGAATTGCATCTATCTGATGAGAATAAAAGACAAAGGAAATCTGTACTAGAAATACAAAAACGTATTAGGTCTTGTCAATGATCAACAGATTCCAAACATGATAGCAGCATGGACAGATCCTATGAGGTGATCAAATTTGCAGATGACACCAAACTGGGAGGGGTGGCTAACACCCCAGAGGACAGGATCACACTTCAAAACGACCTTGACAGATTAGAGAACTGGGCCAAAACAAACAAGATGAATTTTAACAGGGAGAAATGTAAAGTATTGCACTTGGGCAAAAAAATGAGAGGCACAAATACAAGATGGGGGACACCTGGCTTGAGAGCAGTACATGTGAAAAGGATCTAGGAGTCTTGGTTGACCACAAACTGGACACGAGCCAACCGTGTGACGCGGCATCTAAACAAGCCAATGCAATTCTGGGCTGCATCAATAGGAGTATAGCATCTAGATCAAGGGAAGTAATAGTGCCACTGTATTCTGCTCTGGTCAGACCTCACCTGGAGTACTGTGTCCAGTTCGGGGCACCACAGTTCAAGAAGGACACTGACAAACTGGAACGTGTCCAGAGGAGGGCATCCAAAATGGTCAAAGGCCTGGAAACGATGCCTTATGAGGAACGGCTAAGGGAGCTGGGCATGTTTAGCCTGGAGAAGAGGAGGTTAAGGGGTGATATGATAGCCATGTTCAAATATATAAAAGGATGTCACATAGAGGAGGGAGAAAGGTTGTTTTCTGCTGCTCCAGAGAAGCGGACACGGAGCAATGGATCCAAACTACAAGAAAGAAGATTCCACCTAAACATTAGGAAGAACTTCCTGACAGTAAGAGCTGTTCGACAGTGGAATTTGCTGCCAAGGAGTGTGGTGGAGTCTCCTTCTTTGGAGGTCTTTAAGCAGAGGCTTGACAACCATATGTCAGGAGTGCTCTGATGGTGTTTCCTGCTTGGCAGGGGGTTGGACTCGATGGCCCTTGTGGTCTCTTCCAACTCTATGATTCTATGATTCAATGACAGCTTCATACATCACAAAAATGCCCTGGGCATGATGCCAGATTTAATAGATCCACAGTTGATGAAGAATGGACTTAACCAGAGGGAAAGGTACAAGACTGGTAATTTTAGGGGTTCTTGTACAGCAAACTCAGGCACCCACCATTTAACCCTCAATTTTTAAAGTATTTACTGAAGGGATATGTCATGAAATTGACCTGGAAGTCAAAGCCCCTCCTTTAAAAAAAAAAAATCAAAACAGTTTTATTGAATTACACTGATAATTTAGCAGCATGAGAAAATATTGTTACCTTAGAATTCCTATAACAATATATAACACGTACAATATAAAATGCAAAGGGCAGGAGACAAAAAGAAACTGCAGAGTGATCCGGTTACACTGTTTAACTCAGGACTCATCCACACACTTGTGGATTTCTAATCACGGGTCCGACAAGTACTTTTTTGGTCCTACTGTTGTGCTTGGGAAAACCCACTGCTTACTGCTGAATTGGAACAAACGTCAACTGAGTCTTCTGCAGCTATCGGAGCAAACTGAAAAGAAATCTCCCTTGCAACTATCTGAAAATAGCTGAGAAGTTGCAATCCAAGGTTCCCTTTTTGTGCTACTCCTGTAACAGTTCTGTCATATGTCAAAGTGCTGGAATAACTCTTCATTGGGATAGGGCAGACAACAAGGGGACTTGACACTTTCCCTAATTACACTATTGAGATCTAACCAGATCAGATGCAGATAACACATGCTTTCCTTCTACCTGTTTTTCTCCTTCTCCCCCCACCCCTTTTTATCACAGTGAAGCAGAAATATTCATACAGTACAGAGTACTGAATGAAATAAAGGAATGGGGATGGTGTTGACTGGGTTGGTGTGTGCAATTATCTCTAGAGCTTTGAACATATTTTCTCTTCTCTGCTAGTGTTTATTTGCATGTCCTTGTGTTGCTCCATTTAAAAATAATGAAATCAGAACCATTAGGATAGCTCAGTTGGAGGAGCATGAGATTCTTATTGCCAGGGTCATGGGTTCAAGCCTCATGTTGGACAAAAAGATTCCTGCATTGCAGGGGTAGGACTTAAATGCCCCCTGTGCTTGCTTCCAACTCTACAGTTCTATGATTCCATGATATATAAAACACAGTGGTACCTTGGGTTACATAAGCTTCAGGTTACAGACGCTTCAGGTTACAGACGCTGCCAATCCAGAAATAGTACCTCGGGTTAATAACTTTGCTTCAGGATGAGAACAGAAATTGTGCTCCGGATGCACGGCAGCGGCAGGAGGCCCCATTAGCTAAAGTGGTGCTTCAGGTTAAGAACAGTTTCAGGTTAAGTACGGACCTCCGGAATGAATTAAGTACTTAACCTGAGGTACCACTGTACACTCAAGCTTTGTCTTCCCCAAATAAACTATGAGTTGTAAGCCAGTAACAAACCTTGGTTACAGCTTGTGGCTTGTTTGGAGCAAGACAAACCACTAGCCTAACACATAACACTAAGTCACATACTGGCTTAGTTCTTGGTGGTGCAACAGCAGCAGAATTGGGGAAGGAGAAGTCGACACGATTTTCTAACTACACACCAGTATGCTGATTGCTTCACACTAAGCCACAGTTCAACTTAGTGTTATGTGCAAACCCGGCCATAGTCATTGTTTACTCTAGTATTTCATTTGATATTATTTAAGTATTTTTATGCAATAAAATTGAATTGTATTAGAGGGGAGAAGATAACTAGAAGCTTCCCAAACTCCATTTTCATTATTGTCAGCTAGAGATCTGGAACACCAGATCTGACAACTCACAACTACATTCAATTCCAGTGTACTTTGCCTTAAAAAAAAACTATAGAGTTCCTGCATTGTGCATTGAAGCATCAAAAATATAAAGGCAAGGCAACAGCTAGGTCCCTGGCATTAGGTAATGTAACGCTATATCAAGGGATCAAAGTTTGGCTTCAGTGGAGATGACTAATCATAGTTCACACTGAAGTCAATGGGAACTGTTGAATGCCTTTCACTTCCAAAGATCAGGCCATTGCAATTTAATTAACTGCCCTCTAGAAGGAACATGTTCTCTTAATATTTTATTGTTGCAACTTCCTCCAAACCCTGTTGGGTATTTCTAACCACACATTTTCCCTCAGCATAGGGTTCCTGTAAAGTGATATTTATTAGCTAAGGGGCATAATCAGAGGCTCCAGGCTGATCAAAGTGTTCTTTTGTAAAAGTGCTTTGCAAAAACTAAAATAAAAATTGAACATTATCTTAGCAATTGGTTCACTGGCATTGACACATTCTTTATAGAGATCTGGTTGCTGACTGGGCAATTGTGAAAGCATTTGTCACTTTCTTAAACAAAATAAAGTTATTCCTTTCTCATTGTTGCTGATGTGAATAGAAAATATGTTGAATGATATGCTCAGATTCACATCAGGAGTCCATTGCTTTATTATTCTAATTCTGTCATTTGTCAATATGACTTATATTTTTGTTTTGTTTTTAAGATTTAATTTTCAGTTAGATTAGCGATACTGCTAGAAAGTTCAGGAGTGGCCAAATTGCAAGCCAGAGATTTCCCCCATGCTGCTGAACTGGGAAAGGAAGCAGCAGCAGTAGTGCCTTCTCTCACCTGTCTTGTCTCAGGTCTTTCATCTGCCTCACCTTTGACCGCAGGTGAGAGACCAATAAAAGGACAGGGTGAAAATGGGAGGGAGAAATCACTGTTGCCTGGTCTCTAAGTCAGTGGCAATTCATGTCTTGCTTATGTGCTTAGAATCACAGAATTGTAGAGCTGAAAGGGACCACAAGGGTCATCTAGTCCAACCCCCTGCAATGCAGGAATCTTTTGCCCAATGTGGGGCTCAAACCCACAACACTAAAATTAAGAGTCTCATGCTCTACCAACTGAGTTTCCCACAGATATCCGGCTGGCCACTGTGAGAACAGGTCATGGGCCTGATACAAAAGACTTCTTATGTTCTTGTGTTAATTTTAAAGGCATGGGGAAGTCTCTAGATTAGAAACTGGCAGCCACAAAACTATATGCACTTTTTCCATTTCATTTTACACCTCCTAAGCAAACAGAGATGTCCATGGGAGTCCCTCTACTTTGGGGGTCTTGAAACTAGGTAGAGGCTTTGGTGCTTCTCCATGCTGTTCAAGGTGAACAAAATTCAGCCTTGAAGGCCTACCTTGCCTCCCCTTCATCACAGTCCCAGCAGAGGAGAAACAGCCAGGCCATTTTAGGATTAATTGAACTCTAATTAATTAAGTTCACAGTAACAAAAAAAACAAAACGCATGTCATAAGATAATGAAGTGAGCATTTTGTTCCTAATTGGGTCTCGATAATAAGGCCGCTTGGTTGTGATTTCTGATGGCAGTCTCAATGTGCTTCATGATTCTAGGGCAGGCAAGAGACAATTAATGCTAATTAGTGAACAATTAGCAAATGAAAACACAGGTGTAGAAGGGAGACAGTTTTTGTGCTACTCTTGGTGCAAGTCTGCTGGTGCAGCATAACCCAGAAGGCCTCAGGCATGCAAGTAGTGCATCCTTCTTCCTTAGACTGTGGATTAGATGTGAAAGGGCAATGATTACAACCACAAAGGGCAACAGTACCAACCGCAGTTGCCGGTGCTGCAGCAAAATTAAATTAGGGACTACAGGAGGGACTACATGAGGGAATAATACAAGACAGGCTGAGGGGGGAAATGATTTGAACAGCATAAGACTGGTGAGGAAGTGTGGGGAGACAACTTTCCATTGAGATTTGGAATGAAGTGCTGGGAATCAGAGGCCAATCGAAAATCAGATGTCAAGAATGAGCAGTGTAGAGGCCTTCACATTGAGAGATGGAGTCCAAAAGGGCTGGGAGGTCTAACTCAGTAATTCCATTTGAAACAACACAACTAACTAATTACCTAGGAAAACCACTTTCTAAGAGTCATGGACTTCCTCCATGCAGACTGAAGGTGTAAATAGGTGAATAAACCATATTTCTTAAAGAATTACATTCTCTGCCGTGTCTTCCATTATCCAAGGGGACACAGACCCTGTGTGTGCGCCTGGGACCCCATGGTAGGGTTGCCATATTTCAAGCAGTGAAGAAGTTGTTGAGCTTTTTTTGGCAAAGTTGTTGGACTGCCATATTTGGTGATTTATGGAAACCCTACCCATGGGCTCTTGTAGGCACCTTCCATTTGTAACGACACGTTATTAATAATCTAGGCAATGGGTTCGAAACTGAACTTAAAAAAATTCTGTACAATTCTCCTTTTAAAAAAAGCCTCTCTAAAAATATTTTTCTTTTTAAAAAATTGTCCCAGATTTTTTTTACCTTCCTTGACAAACATATTTTCTCTCTAAATGTTGTGTGATTTAATAGGTATTTAAATAATGGGAAGTAGTTAACACTTGTTTTCCTGACCCCAAAGAGACAGAAAATCTTAAATATTTTTGACAGAATCTAATAAACTTGGGGATCAGAGATTCTAAGGCAAGGATGACAACTTAAAGTTGTTGCTTGTTGCTTAGACAGGCAGAAGTCACAGCCCTGATCACAGTCCATCTAACAGAAACGAGGTGTTTCAAGGAGTCTAGGGTGCTAGAATAAATGTATCAGAAGATTTCTGAAATCAGCTATGTATGAACACTGCGGTCCTCTGTATATCTTAGAAGATCCAGAGTCCCATATGGGATGCATTCATATGACTATGCAGACATTGAAAGCCATGCACAGTGTGGCAGGATCTGTAGAGATTTAAAGATTCTGAGATGGGCTTCTAGGAAGTTAGAAATCCTGACAAGCTTTGAATGATTTAAAACAATAAAGAACAGACCATAGTGCAGTCATTATGTCCAGCTGCAGTTCAGGGCACTTTGGGCTGGGCTGCTGGGCTGTTGTTGTTTTTAACTAAAAGGTGTATGAAATATGAGTTTCCATTGGGAGAGAAAGTGGGGTATAACATGAACAAATGGATGATATGAAAGATTCTTAGATTTGAGAAGACCATGCGCTGTAATGGAAATGCTACTGGAGTTATTTAACTCCCTCAACCACCTGCTAAAGTCAAAGTAGTTGAATTCTGCAATGACATAGCAAATGAGCAATGGAGTAGATTTTAAGTTTCATTTTTTCAAAATGGTCACATTCAGAGAAACTGTAATCATTGTCTATAACAAAGCTGTTTGTATCAGTTGACTCCTGATATAAAAATGTTTTGCAAAAACTCCCTGTACTGCCCACATGTCCATGGGCAGAACTCGCTCTGAAATTCAGACAATGTTTCAATAACTATGGCTCTGCAACAGAAAAAAATAACAGATGTTCAAAGGAAAATGTGAGTAACACAATTGGCTCCTTACCTTGTTTACTGTTGGTCATGTCCCTTTTGAACATTAGCTATGGATGTTCAACATTAGCTATGGATGTTCTTTCCTCCATCAGAAAAAAGCAAAACCCAGGAGGTGATATCCAGTGGTGTACATCCACCAATAGAATGGACAGTCTTTGCAGAACAGATTCCCTCTCCCTCCTGCAGCACCCTACATGCTCCCAAATCTGTTATAGAAGATTAGAGGACCCGCAGAAGCAGATGTGAAGGGCCTGCTAGGGGTGGAGAAGAAGGAAAAGTCTTATAAGCAAGCAGAAATCTGCTTGCACCTAGAAGCTCTAATGTGAGGAAGTGGCCAAAACTAACCAAATGAATGTCAGTAGGGACAAATGTAAGGTTCTACACTTAGGCAGGGGAACCAGCTGCACAAATGAAAGATGGGGGACACCTGGATCTTGGGGTCTTAGTGGACCACAACCTTAACATGAGTCAACAGTGTGAAGCAGTAGCAAAAAAAGTGTGAGTGTAGTAGTTTCTCAATAAACTACCTAGAATGCATAGGAAGTTGCCTATAGATCATTGGTCCATTCAGATAAGTTTCTCACAGCCGTACCCAGAGATTCTGGAGACTTAGCTGAGAGTTTATGCATGCAGAGCAGATTTTTCTGCCTCTGAGCTACAGCCCTACCCCAAAGTAAGAAAGTGGTAGTATAAACACTCATGGAATTGGGATGTGCGTGGATCTGCACCATCTGGAAACCTTCCTTACTGACATCAATATTGATTTCATATTAGATGGGGACTTGGCCAGGAAGTTTTAAAAAATGTGTACAGTATTTTCAAGGATGTGCCAAATATATTATGTTTTTCACTAACAATTTTGGCAGTCTATAACTATTTAATTACTAAGTCTTCAGTTATTTTTTCAGCAGTTTCCTTGAATTTGTGTTTGTTCACAGTGAGGGCAATTCATCCTAGGCGGCAAAGAATTCACTTTATTTGCCCTCAGTGGCATTCTGCTTGGGTGTCATGATGCCATAATGTTTACTTATGTGGTTGGCTAGGATCTTCCAAGTAATGTGGGAAGATGTGGGAAGAAGCCCAAACTAGGGTGGGGAATGGCAACCGAGCTGCAGGAGGTTACAGAAACAAACGACAATGATAGAAAAGTGAATAATCACATAACACTAGAATTCCTGGACATCCAACAAAGCTGAATCTTGGAAGGTTCAGGACAGATAAAAGAAAGTACTGTATTTTTTGCTCTATAAGACTCACCTTTTCCCTCCTAAAAAGTAAGGGGAAATGTGTGTGTGTCTTATGGAGCGAATGTAGGCTGTGCAGCTATCCCAGAAGCCAGAGCAAGAGGGATTGCTGCTTTCACTGCGCAGTGATCCCTCTTGCTGTTCTGGCTTCTGGGATTCAGAATATTTTTTTTCTTGTTTCCCTCCTCCAAAAACTAGGTGCGTCTTGTGGTCTGGTGCGTCTTATAGAGAGAAAAATACGGTACTTATTCACTTAGTGCACAGGTAAACTTGCTCCCATGGGAAGCAGTGATGGCCCCAGACTTGGATGGCTTTAAAAGAGGATTGGCCAAATTCATGGAGGATAAGGTTATCAATGGCTAGAAGACACAATGGCTACATTCTGCCTCCATGGTCAAAGTCAGTAATACTTCTGAATATCAATTGCTGGAAACCACAGGAGGTGAGAGTGCTCTTGTGCTCAAGTCCTGCTTGCCAGTTTTCCATAGGCATCTGTTTGGCCACTTTGAGAACAGGATGCTGAACCAGATCTTATGTTTTGTAATCTCCCGATGATGGTGCAACCTCCTGAGTAGTATTAAGATTATTTTGTTTTAGAAGAAGCAGTGTCTTTCATAGAAATGCCCACGCGCACGAAAAAGACTTGAAGCAGGCAAAGTAATCACACTTCTTTCACTGCAGTTCAGAACAACAGTCTACACATTTCTGCAAATCACAAGAACAGTACAATCCTATAACAAGAAGAAAATTCCATTGAGTTCAGTGGGACATACTTACTCCCAGTTATATGACTGCAGCCTAAACTGGCATTTCCCTCGAGACAAAAAATAGTCCATATAGTGTTGAAAAACTGAAGTATCCCTACAAGAGAAGTGCATCCTCAAGCGAAGATGTCTGTACTCCGTGCAGCAAATGTATAATAGCAGTAGCCCATCTGTTGTGAAAAAAAGAAGTCTGGATAGGTTGTGTCTCTGCAAGTGTATGTGCTGGGGAATAAATGCAGGCAGGACTAGGGGACCATCCATGTGAGGCAGGATAAGAAGGGTGAACAGAGGACAAGTTGCAGAAGAAATCTGGGAAGTGCCAGGGCTTCAGAAAAGACAGATGAATGTTTATGCCCTGCAAAAACAAACTGCATGTCTTGTGCAATCTAGTCAACTCCACTTTAGGCCTGGAGGATTCAGGGTAAGGCAATGAAAGGGAAAGAATCCCTTTGATCCTCTGGGCTGACTCAGTCTCCTTTAGACATGCTGATTCAAAATACAAACACATACTAAATACTCTTAACAATGGAGGTCTCTTGCAGACTCTCTCCAATTGGGTCAGTA